CATTTATTTCAGCAAATGTAACAGTCATAGGAAAGTTGTCCGGGTTTATACGAAAGACACGGGAGCAGAGCCAAAATGGGCGCAAATCAGCGTGTCCCTTCTTTGAGGGAACGGCGAAAGCAGCGTGGACTAGGGGGAACGTCGATGCATGTCTTCTCCGTCAGCAGAGCTTTGCCCTCCCAGGGAATCGTGTACACGACGAAGCGACACAGCAGCCTCTGCAAGGGAAAAACGCGGCGGTCATTTAACAGCGCCACCTGCGCAGGCTGCAGACAAGGCGAATAGAGACGCACATCCTAATTAAGTGTGGTACCGTTTAAAAATACCGCTGGATATTGTCAACATATCGGAATATACTCAATTCGGAGTTAGCCAAAACGGCATGCTTACATCGGTATTACACGCACAGCATCTTCTCTTTAAATATTATAATGCATAAAAGCACCTGACCCCACATTAGAAGCTAACCCTTGAGAAACAGACTGAATATCCAAGTGGGAAGCGATACGCGTTTTGCAAGTGCAGTTTTAACCAAGATTAGGGTCTGCGTCAGGTGCGCATTTACCTTCCCGTTTACTTGCAAAGGACAGGTTTCCGGGTCCATCGCCTGCGCTTTCATGCACCAAGTCAGGCCCAGTTCTGTGGTCAAGATGTAGTTCAGACCTGCCACAACCTGCAGAGATGGGGGACGCGAGTTCATGTCTCATACTTCGCTCATAAGGACAAATAGAACCAGAAATGGACTGTCGCACAAAACAAAATCAATGGAGCGCGGTGTTTGTGCAATTACAGAGAATACGCCGAAGCTCGGTCATTCACAGTTACAGTTTTGAAATCCTGTTGCGTTTTGGGGCGAGAAAAAGAGTGCAATACCTGAGTTTGAGAGGATACTATAGCCGTGAGTTTGTAGGCATAATTCTCCTGGGACGCCGCCGCATTGTACGCGGCTACGGCAAACCAGGCCGCTTGCCGCACTTCACACCGGTCCGAGGGCACGTCGGAGGGAGCCCCAGGCATCGCGGGCGCCCCGGGCATCGCGGGCGTCTCGGCCATGACGTAGCCGATGGGCGCTACGAGGAAGCAAATGGCGAGGAGCTGCGGAAAGAAAAGCACTGCCATTACAACAACACATGAGCGGTACTACACTACCCCGCATAAATATAACCATAATTATTTAAATTAACCAATCAGCTGATTATACAATTAGTAGATAATTACTTGATGAAGACTGCAGGCCATTATTCACTACTCATACTTGGTGTGATCTAGCCTTACCTACGTGTGGGTAGTATTTGCACCTGAATAATTAGATATTCTGTTCATATGCTTCTTAAAATTGAACATGAACTGGTCAACTGATCATCTTGGTGATTTGTAAACAATATGGAGTTGCAATCTTCTTAAAAATAGTTATTTCTCTCCGAGATCAAATATCTATGGAGCCCCTGAATGGACATGTGCAAAACAATAAAACGCTCTCACTGTCGCGTGCACACGTGGTAAATTATTCATACCGTGACCGCGACATAAAGGCTTGTAAAGTGCAGCGCATATGTAACCTGGAGATACTGGGGGTAAGACACAGCTCTGCCGGCACTTTGTAAAGCCTATGGCTTGTAACCCGGGTTGCTACGTGAGTTGGAGGCACACTGTAGTTTTGAGTGCTACTTTTTTATTTGATCTATTTAGTTGAAAAGGAAACAGTGTAAGACAACATAAATGCATTTATGTCAAGATGTAAAACCTAATGTTACAAATATGTGGTTGTAATGAAATTACAAATGGAATTGGCACAATTAGAAACACTGGACTGAAGAAAATTGTCATTTGTGATTGTTTTTCCAATAATAACTGTAACTGAAACTTATACAATGTTAGTAGGTTAAATGGTATGAGAAGAAGTTTGCAACAAAGAAAAGAACATTCACGTTCATGGCTGCCCCGTAACTTCAGTCAAAAATGCAGATATTCTGTAACAGATAGTCAGGCCCTGCGTTTGGTGCGCGCTACAGATATGAGGTAATAAAACGGACAGGGTCGCTATTTGCTTAATTTTACTGACGATTTCAAAATACAGTACAGGTGTTTCAAACGCTTTTCAAATTATAGTAGTGTACAAATAAATGTATAATTTAAATACGTTATAATGAGGTAAGCTGACCGGGGGGTGGAAAAAAACAACCCCACACACCAAATGTGGTACTTAGTTGTACTATTAGTTTTTCATTAGTCCAAGCCAGAATCTTGCATTATCCATCCATATTTAGACATCCTTCATTTTGGCAAATATTTCATTCATAGGAAAGTTGTCCGGGTTTTTATGAAAGATACGGGACCAGAACCAGAATGGGCGCAAATCAGTGTGTCCCTTGTGTGAGGGAACGGCGATAGTAGCGTGGACGAAGGGGACTGTCGATGCATCTCTTCTCAATTAGCATCGTTCTGCCCTTCCTGGGAATCGTGTACACCATGAGACGACACAGCAGCCTCTGCAAGGGAAAACCGCGGCGGTCATTTAACAGCGACACCTGCGCATGGTGCAAACAAGGCGGATAGAGGCGGCTACGGCTACGGCAAAACGGGCCGCTTGCGGCACATCGTACGAGTCGGTGGGCACGTAAAAGGGAGCCCCGGGCATCGTGGCGATGGGCGCTACGAGGAAGCAAACGACGAGGAGCTTATCCTGCGTTATATTTAAATTCAAGATGGCTGAGTTCGGGGTCGATTAGATTCCTCCCAGTTCACGATCTACAATTCCGACTTCAGGGGGCCTTCCAGTTAAATTTCCGACTACAAGCTCGGAATTTACGAATTACGAGTTAAAATGAAACTGATAGCAATGGAACAGTCTAGGAAAAGGACTCGTTCTCACATTTGGGAACGTTTTGCTGTGTTATCTCCAACTAAGGTAGGTCAGAAAAATATAAAAGTAATCATTCCTCGGTACATGAATATTCATCTTCTCATGTAAGGTCCCGTGTCTGATCTGCTCTCAGCAACTGGCCTGCAGTAATAATAAATTACATGTGTGTGTGTGTGTATGTATGTGTATGTGTGTATATATATATATATATATATATATATATATATATATATATATATATAGTGTTTTGCTCAAGGTATCCGGAAGGACATAAGAGATGAAGCCATAATGAACATGATTGTACTGAATACTCAGCCCTTTTCTGTAGCAGAGCTGGATGGTGGAAGGGAATGAGGCATCAGCTGTAAGCCTGAGAACAGACATGTGGACCTCACTGCACAGGGGTACATATCTCACTGAAACAGCTGCCAACATCATTACCTGTGCTGATACAGTGAAGCTCTGCCACACTGCTTGTACTGCACATGCTCTTAGCCGTACCGTTTAAAAGGCAATTGAGCAAACCCCTGGGTTCGATTTGACCATAGCATGGCTGAGAAGGATTGTGGTGCCAAAGCCTCTGGTTCCAGTGGAGATGGGTATGCCAGTTTCGAAACCGATTCAAGAAGTGGACACTCGCTGGAACAGCACCTTTGCAGTGCTTCAGTGCATGTTCAACAACACAGCCAGTGGGGCTGCCGTGGTCAGTTTAAAAACTGATGTTACCCTACTGAGCTATGAAGAGTATCACTCAGTAAAAGTGTATAGGAGTGCTCAAACCTTTCCAACTGGCCACTGTAGCTTTGGCAGAGGAAAAGACAGTGTCGGGGTTAGAAGTGATACCACTTGTGAAAATGCTGAGGCAGTCCTGAAGCTCAAAACTGGCAGATGAGAAGGCCGTTCACCTTGCCAATACCCTGGTAAGAATGATTATGGAAAAATATCTGTATGGGAGACCATGAGTGTTATGCACATTCCCACTCTGCGGGATCCCAGGTTTAACAATGTTGGTTTCTGCAGCTCCACAAATGCCCAAGCAGCAGTGAAAAAGTTTACAGCAGAATGTGCAGCAGATATGAGGAGATCAATGGACACGGCTGTAGGACCGTCGCTAGAATGCTTTAGTTTTACAAAGCGTCAAGTAATTGATTTAAAACTTCATTGCTTCAGAAAACTTTTCCCCATCACATATGCCTGGTACTACACTACACTGCATAAATATAACCATAATACTTTAAATTAACCAACTAGCTGATTATACTCTTAGCAGACCTGGGGGAAACTTTGCAAAAAAATCGTTCACTGTCCATTAGTGATAGAGTGTAAGTAAGTTCAAGTATTCTTACAAACTCCTTAAATCCAGCAATCCAGCATTCTTTGCTACAGAAAAGGGCTGAGCATACTCGTTCCATAAGTGGAAATTAGTGGGAGAACATTTTAAAATGAATTTGAGAAAACACTTCTTTACACAGCGTGTAGAGTATGGAATAGTCTTCCTGCTAGTGTAGTGCAAGCTAAAACCCTGGGTTCCATTAAATCAGGGCTAGATAAGATTTTTAACAACTCTGAGCTATTAGTTAAGTTCGCCCCAAATGAGCTTGATGGGCCGAATGGCCTCCTCTCATCTGTAAATTTATGTTCTTATACTATTATAGCATCCAGTACAATCATGTTCATTACAGCTTCATCTATTATCCCCTTCAGGTATCTGGAGCAAGACACACATTACATACACATATAATTTAACACCGAATATCTGGTACAGGTGCACTGGGAGCTGGGAGGAATCAAAAACGTGGACTGGCCGGGGATCCCAGAGGACTGGGTTGAGTAACACTGTACTATACAATATATTCAGATTGTGTTTCTTTGGAGTAAACATAATATGTTTTATGTTTAGGTACATAAAAGCTGTTCTGCAGCTTTTTAAATCACCTGTATAAAAAGCATCATTCTAAATATGTTACTTTTGGGGCATTTCTGAGCACTGAGATGAAATTCCTGCAAGGAGGCTTGCACCTTCTGTCTCTGTGACATAACGCATAAGTCAAACGGTATTTGGTCAAAGTCAAGAACAGGAAGGTTGTCT